GCAAACGCCAGGGCAGCGTTTTGTGCAGTCCCTTCATACAGTTCTGGTGGTTAACCGTCGTGACAGCAAGGGAGCGAGCGTTTTATGGGACAGGTTTGCATCAGCGGGAACTTGTCCGAAGCCGGGAGACCGCTTCCCCCCGCTCCCTCTCCAGACTGAACTAATTAGCTTGTGTTGATCGCCGTCGCGCTGCGCTTCGTCCGTCCCTGTTTGCTTTCTAGGTTACATTTTTGGCCTGTCGGCCCTGGCAAGTTTTGCTGTAAAATAAACGGCTTTTACAATAAAAAGAAACACTGAGCGTGTTACATCAAGGGCTTAAGTCGAGCCAAGGATTTCAGCTAAGGCTGCAGTTTTGTCCTTACTTCACCTCTGCGGGGCGGAGGGTGGCCGTGGCCAAGGCCGGGGTCCTGCAGCGGAGCATCCCCGGCGGGCGCTGCGTCTTTGCCTTCCGCCTCTCCCGTCCTGCGCCACGTTTTTCATTGCAGTCTGCTTGCTGATATGCAAGATCGGGACCTGCTGGAGCAACAATAATTCTCGAAACTCAGTATTTTGGGTGGGGGGGGGGGGGGGGAAGCAAGTGAAAGTTTTAATGTCGATGTTGAATTTTCTTGAGGCGCGCGTAGCGGGCTGGGTAAGCCGGCAGCAAGCCTGCGGGAGCTAGAGTGCTGCCTTTGCGGGTATCGGATCGGGAAGGACGTAATTTGAAAGCACAGTCAACTTGCCTTAAATCCGAGCGAGCCCTTGTCACCTGGCGCAGATGATGCAGCAGTTTTAGCGTGACACTGATTTTTACAGAGTTTGGGTTTTTTTCCCGTTAATATTTGGCATCGTTCCTTATTTCAAACAGGCGGAAGAGGGGGAATAAGCCCAGATCCCTGGTCCTGGCTAGCCGGTCGGCTTCTGAACAGAGTTTTCTTGTTTCCTTGCTCGCAGCTTAGAGGCAGCTGCCCCGGCTCCCCGCTGCTGCTGGCAGCGCGGAGGAGTTATTGCTCGGCCGCGCTGATATTGCTAGCGTGACTTCATCTTGCTGACAGTGACGCAAGGCGTTAGCAGAAGCGAGCGCGTGCTGCAGGACGGCCCTTCGCTTTCCCTCCGCGCCGCTGGTTAAATCCACGTATCGCGCTTGGTTTGGAGCTGGCGTTTTAAACGGGGAGCATCGAGCGCAGAGATGGGTCGCTAGGTAGGTCGCGATCTGGAGCATTTAACACCGCCCCGGACATCTCCGCTGCGTGAGATAACGCAGTGGACTGGTCGCACTGGGGTCTCTTTAAGCATCCGGGCAGGTAGGTGACCCGCTGCGCTGCACAGAGCGCAAAAGCAGCCCGTCCGGAAACGTGCTTTGGCGACTCGGGGAGAGGGGTTTTTCAGAAAGCGGTGGAAATTTTAGCATCGTTTCATCACAGCGGAGCGCCGGGCCGGGCGGCGAGCGGGAGCCGCCTTGCCTCCAGCGACCGCGCCGGGGTGCTAGCAAGCTTTGCTTCGCAGCACCGCGATTCTCGCCAAAACTGCGGCTTTTCCGAAGTAAGGCAGGACGTGGGGCGAACCGGTGCCTTCGATGCCTGGTAGCGCGGGAAGGCGAGCTGGATATCTGAGCCCGTTTACTCTCTACCCACGCAGCTCAGTTCTTGTGCGGGGTCCCGTTGCTTTCTGTCGCGGGTGGCATACTTTTTGAGAACTGCAAATGCTTCTAGAGAGTCTAAAACAAATAACGACTTTGGAGGGTAGTGATTCGCAGGATTGCCTCGCTGCGATGACTGGAAGGAC